TAGCTCTAATCTTAGCTACATTCACTCCAGCAATGGCTAAGAATTCTCAGCAAAGAAACGGATTTTGTAGCAAGTGCAGAATGAAGTTGCTGGGTGCCATGTATTTTGGAAATCTCAGGGAACAGGGACTGTTTCGTTTTTGGTGATTGGTGATAGGCAGGAGTTTTTCGAAATGACAGGTTTTTTGTGTTTTTTTTTTGTTTTTGTTTTTGGTTTTTTTTTTTGAGGTAACTTTCCAAGTTGAACTCAAACATCGTAATTCTTTTTTTTTCCTTTTTCTTTTTATAGAGATGTACCTCGCCATCTTGCCCAGGCTAGTCTTGAACTCCTGACCCCAAGTGATCCACCCACCTGAGCCCCACAAAGTGCTGGGATTACAGGCATGAGCCACACTGCGTTCAGCCTACAAAACATCCTAATTCTGATGTTACCATTTGCCTGCTTTTTAAAAAACGAATTTCTTACAGATTTATGTGGTCTAACCTAAATCAGAATTTAAGTTTAAAATATTTACCAAAACTTAAAAACATTTTTTCTTTTTAGCCCTTGAGTCCTACTTGCCTTTATACATTAAAACCTCACATTCGGCACTCCATCAGTTTGCCATTTGGAATTATTTGTCAAGTGGGCTGAGCTTTGCTGTTCACAATTATGTATGTGTACTTTGTTTTTTTCTGTTTTTCTTTTTTGAGACAGAGTCTTGCTCTGTCACCCAGGCTACAGTGCAGTGGCGTGATCTCGACTGGCTGCAACCTCCACTTCCCGGGTTCAAGCAATTCTCCTGCCTCAGCCTCCCCAGTAGCTGGGAGTACAGGCACGCACCACTGCCCCTGGCTAATTTTGTATTTTTAGTAGAGACAGGGTTTCACCATGTTGGCCAGACTGGTCTCAAACTCCTGACCTCAAGTATCTGCCTGCCTCGGCCTCCCAAAGTGCTGGGATAACAGGTGTGAGCTATCGTGCCTGGCTTACATTTTGATATCTTTAAGTCAATGGTCTGTAGGCCTTGTCTTACTTCAAAATGATCAAATTTATGGAAACTCCTTTCCCTGAGGGAAACTGAAATAAATTTAGACTTGGAGACTGCCACAAAAAGTACAGGCCTGTGATAGATCATTTTTGCTGTGTAGACATGTTTTTTTTTTTTCCTTAAAACTTTTTTTGGGAAATTTAAAATTCCATTTCCATGTTGCTATCTAATAATTGTTTTTGTTTAGAGATAGGGTCTCAGTATGTTGCCTATGTTGCCCAGGCTGGTCTCAAACCCTTGGGCCTCCCAAAGTATTGGGATTACAGGAGTGAGTCACTGCACCAGGCCCCTAATAATAATGTTATCTGCAAACATTAGCAGTGTACTTGGTGTGATAAAGAACGGTGATTTCTCATTTTGCAAAGTTCTCATTTACACCATCACTCCAAGATCTCTCAGTTGCCCAGGCTGTAATGCTGTGGTGTGATCATGGCTCACTGCAGCCTTGAACTTTGTGCTCAAGCAGCCCTTCTGCCTCAGCCTCCTGAATAGCTAGGACTTACAGGCATGCAACGCCACACCTGGCAATTTAAAAAAAAAATTATTTTGTAGAGATGGGGGTCTTTGCTGTGTTGCCCATGCTGCTCTCAAATTTCCTGGCCTCAAGCAGTCCTCCAGCCTTAGTATATAGACATGTTTGAGCAAGTAATTTATCATATAGATTAGATGTCACACTGAGTTTGAACAAGAGACAGGCTGCAGTTTTCCTAAAGTAACAAAATGACAGACATTTGTTAAAACAGACAAACCATCAGTGTAGTCATTCTTTTGACAGGTCATGAGATGGGTACTTCCGATTCTGCCTTGGACACCGTGGAGGAAGAGAGTAGGTACTAACACAAATACACTGAAAGCTCCGATTTACTGGCCTTTGACTCTGTCCTAAAAAGGAGATATGACAGGAAATTTTGAAGCAAAAGAAAATCCCAATCATAACAGAAGTTTACAAAGAGGCCCAAGGGAATGGCCTTTGTACCGGGAGTGCTGTTTTCTGAAAATGAAAAACTGAATAATACATGAGCTTCACATGCAGGGGGAGTAAGAAAGAGCAGGAATGCAGGCGTTTCCCCTGGGCCAGCAGATGAGCAATTGCCCACTTCCTAAGAGTGATCAGTGGTGACAGCTGGGAGAGGTGAGAGCTGGGTAAGCTGGGAGGTGGCTTCTATGTCCTCGACCTCCTGTGAACATTGAAAGACACTGTGTCATTTGCCTACTGAGAGTCTGCTTTGGGAGGCCGGAGTAGAAGACACTACTGGCTTTAGAGCCCCATTTCTCTGGGGATTCCCAAACTGTGCCTTTGACCATCTCTTAAATCTTGAAGAAAAAGAGATAGAGATGTTGTGATTTAAATGAGAAATTTGCAAAATGAGAAACAGCTGTTCTTCATCACGCCAAGTGCATCGTTAGTGTTTTCAGATAAAATTATGGTTAGGTAGCAAAATGGAAGTGAAATTTTTAATTTCTTAGTGCCATACCTCCTTCATCTAAGTTTATGATCCCATCTTGACCCTCTTTTGAATCTTGAAGATAAAAATAGAGATGGTGTGATTTAAATGAGAAATCTGCAAAATCAGAAATCACCGTTCTTCATCACACCAAGTACACTGTTAATGTTTGCAGATAAAATTATTATTAGGGGCCTGGTGCAGTGGCTCACTCCTATAATCTCAATACTTTGGGAGGCCCAAGGGTTTGAGACCAGCCTGGGCAACCTACTGAGACCCCATCTCTAAAAAAAAAAAAAAATACTAGGTGGCAAAATGAAAATGAGATTTTAAATTTCTTAGTGCTATACCCCCTTCATCTGAAGTTTATAATCTCTTGCCAAAGGTCAAGAGAAGAGTGGCAGGCCTCCATGCCTATCCTTCCTAGACAAAAAAAAGTAAAAAATCCCAGGACCAAGAACTGAGTCCTGGTGGTGGACGGCCAGGAACCCCGTGAACATCAGTGTCAAGTCAGTTCATCTGAAGATGGTCAGCTGATGTTTTAAAATTAGATTTGTCTTATTAACTGTGTAAGTCTATTGCTAAATGTCTCCTGGCCCTTACTGATATGTCTTCGTGTGAAAATGCTAACATCAATAGTTGATGCACAGGAAGCATCGTCAGAAAGTCAAACTCTTCCCCTCTCGGAAATATTCTTCCAATGACCTCTTTACTCACGTCTTCTGCAAAAAAGAGGATCAGAATAGAGCAAACTGAGTTCATTTGAAATTTTTAAAATTTTAAAAATAAAATAAAATAGGAACAGGGTCTTGCTATGCTGCACAGCTGGTCTCACTCCTGAGCTCAAGCAATCCTCTTACCTTGGCCTCCCAAAGTGCTGAGGTTACATGCAAATGAGCCTCTGTGCCAGGCCTTCATTTGCGATTTTAATATGCAACAGCTCAGATGAAAAGATACTCTGAATAATCAAATAATGTAGTTAGTTCTTCCTCAATTGAAGAAGGAATAAGTTAATGTTTTTAATTTTCCCAATTGTTTTTCTCCCAGAAAGTTTTCTTAAACCATTAGTCTTCTGTAGTTAGCAAACACTCATAGGCAGGCAGATAAATGAACAACAAGTAAGTATTCATGGAAAGCACAAACATCAGCAACGCCAAAACATCTTTCTTTTTTCAGGAGCATGTGTGATTGTGATTTTTGATTGCATAAGTTCCAGGAAAAATTGTGATTAGTTTACATGATGGGATTAGATCTAGTAATCATTGGTATTATACAGAGAGAACCATGGCTTTCAAGTAAGTGCTCTGATACCCAACCAAAGTTAAGAGCCTCTAGGTCCCAGAGGAAACGATTGAGGGGCTTTGCAAACTAAGGCTGGAGGAGATGGAACAGGGATGAACTGAGGGGAAAAAAAACAAAGTGGGCTTAGGATGGAGAACTTGGGCAGCATGCCAGCAGCTGAGCATCCTCAGGGCACACCCCTCTGCTGAGGGATGGTGTGAGCTGGCCGTCCTGATGGGAAGACTGTCTACGTCTGGCTTCAGGAACTGTCCCGATGGACACAGGATTCCCTTGCCTCCACAGTGCATCTTCTCCTATCAACAAAAGGAAGTAGGAAGAAAGAAACAGCAAGAAGAGGCCTGCAAAAAAGTCTTTAAAAAGTTTTATCTATGGCAGCCCTGCAGTCTTCCTTCTTTTCAGTGAATAGAAAAGAGCTCAAAAATCCATACCTTCACATCAGAGGTGCACTGTTCATACATCAAATTCTTGTAACATCCAAAGGCGAGGGAAGAACAAGGTGAGCTGGCTCCTGAAGAAGTATTCATGGAATATGAGAGCCGAAAGGGGCGTTGAAAAGTCATATTTCATGGTAATCCTGTGCCATATAGACATAATCTTTCCTGTATCGGTAGAAAATAGATTCCCCATAATGGCACAAGTCACATACTAAATTGTGCAATAGGATTACAGCACCATCTTGTGGCCAAAATCAGTACAGTGCTGAACACAAAAAGCTCCCATTTGTTCCATTCTTACTTGGAGTTTAGTATTAGTTTCTAGTTTACTTTCTTGTGACCACATACAACATTTTGAGAAAAATATTCCTCATTATACATATGCATACAATAAAGAGTATGAATTTAAAAGAATAGGGGTTATGTAACTAAGTTCGTAGACATTAATGTTGCATTTTTGGCTAGGGGATGTTTTTGGTACAACTATACTTTGGGCACAGGGAACTAGAGAGTGGGAAAAGGTGGAAAAAGTCGGAATTTCAAAGTAAATGACTAATGGCTTTCTCTGGTGTGAACCTAAATTCAAATGTCAGTGCTTCCTTCCAGTCTTATGACTGTCTTCTCAACATGGACGAGGCATTAGTCAAAAAGCTAGTCCTTCACATGGTCACTGAATGCTCTTGGTCACATGCGCCATTTGACGACACCCTTGTACTCACATGTTCCTTCTGCCCACATGTCATATTTATGCAGTTAGGCTCATAGGACAAATAGCTACTCAGAGACTGGTTCCAAATTTCAAGCTATATTTGATACACAATTGAAAATGTATGTCAATTTTTCTAAATTTTCTACATTTCTACCCTATTTTAGTGGGTGCTTTTAAAAAGTGCAACTTAAGTTCAAAGAAGCCTTTACTTAGAAATATGTTGAAATTACATTCTACATGAGGCATATGGATCTCTACTTGCAAAGCAGTTTTATCAACTAGAGCTAGACTTGTCCCACATGTAAATTTGGAAGCATTCAAGTTTTAAAAGCTTGAAAACCTAAAAGGATAGTTCCCCTCCAAGATTGTAGGTTAAGGTCCTGCAAACTCCCCTGAGCAGGCGAAATTTGGGAATGCACAATCAGCACTATTTAGCGGGGGTGAAAAAGGATTACTGGGTTTGCAAATGAATTCTCTAGACTTTCTTAATGTTTACCTTAAAAAAATTAGAATCATACTACAGCTAGATTCTGCCATCTCACAGACGCTAAGTGGTCATAAGACGTCTTTTGCTTTCCAGAAAAGTTCGTCATATAATCTCCTTTCTCCTACAGTACCAATGAGATGCTTATCGAATCATGTTTACTTGTGAGTAACACACATAAATGGCATTTTACCACTGGTTTTGGTCCTCTATCCTTGTGTTTCATTACTAGGATTTGAAGTTAACTCTGAAAAAAAGGTAAAATATAGTTGACCTTTGAACAATGCAGGGATTAGGGATATTGACACCTTATGTAGCAGTAAATCTGTATATAACTTTTGACTTCCCAAAAACTTAACTCCTAATAGCCTATGGCTAACTGGAAGCCTTACTGATAATATATTAATAAACAATCAACACATTTTGTTATACGTATTATAAACTTTATTCTTACAACAAAGTAAGCTAAAAATTATAAAGGAAATCAAAGGAGGAGAAAATATATTTACGACTCATTAAGTGGACATGGATGATCAAAAAGCTCCTCATCTTTGTCTTCATGCTGAGTAGGCTGAAGAGGAGGAGGAAAAGAGGATGGTCTTGCTGTCTCAGGGTGGCAGAAACAGAAGAAAATCCGCGTATACATAGTGATCTGCAAAATTTAAACCCACGTTGTTCAAGGGTCAACTTTAACTTACTTTTAACCTACCAATTCAGTCAACTAGTTGTTTTTCAAATGTTCCCCTCCAAAAAGTCTCTGCTTTACCTTGGGGAGCTATAAACCCTGTAATATAAGCTCAAGTTCCACTTTCCTAGCCAGTCTCAGGAAAGGCACTTCAAAATTCCTTTATCTTTCTTTATAAAAAAACGTCAGACCGGGCGCAGTGGCTCACACCTGTAATCCCAGCACTTTGGGAGGCCGAGGTGGGCAGATCACGAGGTCAAGAGATTGAGACCATCCTGGCCAACATGGTGAAACCCCGTCTCTACTAAAATACAAAAAATTAGCTGGGCATGGTAGCATGCACCTGTAGTCCCAGCTACTCGGGAGGCTGAGGCAGGGGAATCCCTTGAACTCAGGAGGCGGAGGTTGCAGTGAGCTAAGATTGCACCACTGCACTCCAGCTTGGGCAACAGAGCCAGACTCCGTCTAAAAAATAAATAAATGAATTCATGGTAAAAGTGCTGTTGGTTTTAACATTTTACCTCTTTTCTATTTTCAACTCGTAGGTCCTGCTATTCTTGTTAACCCCCGCGAGTGACTACTGGAAGACTCAAACTAAAAATAACTGTTGCCGAAAAGTTTTTAAAAAATGATAAATCAAAAGGAATTTGCAGTTAGGGGATTATTGAACTGCCCACAAAGGATTAGAACACCAAAACCTCTCTACTGAATTAAATGTGTTCCAATACTTAGAAGAGTGCTTGGTACGTACTATTATTATGACTAGAATACTAAATTGAACTGAAATCTATGCTTTATTTTCCCTTCACCATTAACATTTTAAGCTGTTTTTGAGTTTCAACTTCTTAGAAAAGGCAATTTCTGAGAAGCATAACATTTGCCTTTTCCTGCTACTTACAATAGAAACTGAGTAAGAAACATACTAGAAGTATACAGAATTTTAAACTTGGAATTTGGGGATCATGTAAATAGCTGCCTACTTATAATCTATACCATGCATTTCCCAAAGAGTTTTAACATTACTATTTCAGTTAAAATTGTATTACAGAAGCAAAGTTCATCAACCTCCTGCCATTACTGGGTATATCAAATTAAAATGCAATGTAACATGTGGAGAAAAAATGTATTGGTATTACAGCAAAAAATTCACATAAGATACATAAATTATGATACCTCAAAGCTAGAGGCAAATACACCTAATTATACAAATTTTATACAATTAAATCAAGAACTTTAGGAAAATTTCTTGTAAAAATGTCAAGAAAAGATTTGATCTGGTTGGGCACAGTAGCTCACACCTGTAATCCCAGCACTTTGGGAGGCCAAGGTAGGCGGATCACCTGAGGTCAGGAGTTCAAGACCAGCCTGATCAACATGGAGAAACCCCATCTCTACCAAAAATACAAAAATTAGCCGGGTATGGTGGCATATGCCTGTAATTCCAGCTACTAGGGAGGCTGGGGCACAAGAATCGCTTGAACCTGTGAGGTGGAGGTTGCAGTGAGCCGAGATCGCACCACTGCAGTCCAGCCTGGGTGACAGAGTAAGACTCTATCTCAAGAAAAAAAAAAAAAAAGATTTGATCAAACCAAGATTTTAGAAAAACAAAATCAAAAACACTGTGACGTGATTAACATTTATTTAATTTTGGGAACACAGTAAAAAAGAAGAACAAACCAAAAAAAAACCACCTATTTCTTCACAATTTTGAAAATGTCTGGCTTGAAACACCTTTGACATTTAACTCACTTTCAGTCTCAAGTTTCAGGCTGCCACATTCATGGCTGGCTAGCTGGCAGTGATGCTCTTCTCTGCTCTCAAGGTTTCTTTGGGCTTGGAATAGTTCCAAGGCCGTCTATTCTCTGTGAATCCATAAAGTTTTCTAAGGGCCACTCGAGCAGCCTCTTCTTCTGCAACCAATACTGTTTCCCCAGGTCCTTCTGCAATCAACTTTTTATCACTAGAAAGAGAACAAATAGTAGTCTTAAATTACATGGAATATCATAAGACAGTACACAAAGCAGTTATAAAGCAATTATGCCATCTACATCTTATTTCAATAACACACATTAGAAGTAACACAATAGCTTTGATAGATCATCTTTTGGATTTTAACTAGATTTGTTGCAAGTTCATTATATATGGTAATTAGACAAAGATACACTCATGTTTCATTAGAAATATATACAACTCTATCAAGTCAAAAAAGCATCTATGTTTTCAATTGTTGATGAGAGAATTGGAAGAATATGTAAATAAATATCTCCTTATAAAACCCTGAAACTAGTAAAAATATTATCAGGAATTATGACTATTTTTATTTTTAATGTGTGACATAACTTGGGAAAAGATTCTGTTGAAAAAATTATGCCTTTTGAGTTTGTCATCTAAACTTTAACACAAATGAGAAACCAGTTCTATACTTCAAATTAAGAACTTTAGGCCAGGCGTGATGGCTCACACTTTTTTTTTTTTTTTTTTTTGAGAAAGAGTCTCGCTCTGTCGTCCAGGCTGGAGTGCAGTGGTGCGATCTCAGCTCACTGCAAGCTCTGCCTCCCAGGTTCACGCCATTCTCCCACCTTAGCCTCCCAAGTAGCTAGGACTACAGGTGCCCGCCACCACACCAGGCTAGCTTTTTGTATTTTTAGTAGAGACGGGCATTTCACCGTGTTAGCCAGGATGGTCTCCATCTCCTGACCTTGTGATCCACCCGCCTTGGCCACCCCATGGCTCACACCTTTAACACCAACACTTTGGGAGACCAAAGCAGGAGGATTGCTTGAGCCCAGGAGTTCGAGATCAGACTGCACAACATAGTGAGACCTCCAAAAAAAAAAAAAAAAATGAAATGAAATAAAAAAAAAGAGCTTCAAAACAGGCTCAGATTTTAAAATTATTTTATATATTTCTAACCCAGTCTAATTTATTTCCAAGTGAGGTAACACTCAATGTTGGCTATGAGTATTCTATTGATAAATCTAAGGTAGGTAGTCCTCTGCTTTACTGGTATTTCTATATCATAATCACTTATCTTCTTAAAAAACGTGAAATGTTCCTTCAAGAGAGCAGAGAATGTAGAATGTGCACATCAAATAACTATAATCCTTTTTGTTTTGCTACTTCTGAAATATATTTAACTACTTCCTAGAAATTTTCTGACCTAAAATTTCATCTGTGCCATTAAAAGAAGCATCTCCAGAAAGTTTCATGCACAGCAACTGCATTTACTAAATTGGATTCGATATAAACTGATTTGAAAGTGAAGACTGAAGCCAAATTAAAGAAAAACTAGTGAAGCTACACAAAGAACAACAATAAATTTGCTAAAAAACATCTGTTATGATAATAATTGGAAATGAAACAAATGTTATATAAGTTAAACTTTATAATAATAAACACAAATTTGCACAAATCTTGAGAAACAGAAAAAGTCATCTTAAAGTGAATAACAAGCATAGAATTTTGTTTTTAGTCTAACGTTGCTGGTTTTATCATTGATCATGTTTTAAAGTCATTATGTAAAATCTACAAAAACACAACTACCCAACAGTAATCACTGTAGTGATACGGCAAATGACTTCTTACATTTTTTTTTTAGATAAAAGATCATTCTCTAAAATATCCCAATCTCATTAAAAATTCTTTTAAAGTGTTGCCTGTAATAGCTGTACTATATATTACATCATGTACATGTATCATTTCCCTCTTGTGGAATATCAAATTTATTTCTAATTGTTTTTCAGTTCAACAACTATTTACTGACCACCACGTCCCAGCAACTGTTCAAGGTATGGAGCATAAAGAGGTAAACAACAAATGTCTTTGTTCACAAAATTTGTCTGCAAATTTAAGGCAAACAACCAGAAGTTGAAATACCAAAATCAAAGAACATAAAAAATTTTAAGATGCTTGGCATTTCGTCAAAATTATTCACAGAAATAAGGTACATTGTTTTCCTATCAGCAGTGTATAAACTGATGATAAAAGATATGTTTAAAAGGTTTGCCAAACAGACAAGTAACAAAGAGTAGCTCACTGTTTTTGCATTTCAATAAATAAAACTTTTTACAACACTATCCATTTTCCCCACATGGTAACTTCTATTTCTTTTATACTTATAAAGTCTTTTTGTGATACAAGGATTAGAAAAATATTTACCTAAATCTTAATCTAGCTATTTTAAATATTCACTATTTACATTTAACACTTTAATCTTAACATCTGAGATTAATTTGGGGCAGGTCAACTTTTTACTAACAAAACTAAAAAGCTCTCTGGCCGGGCGCGGTGGCTCAAGCCTGTAATCCCAGCACTTTGGGAGGCCGAGACGGGCGGATCACGAGGTCAGGAGATCGAGACCATCTTGGCTACCACGGTGAAACCCCGTCTCTCCTAAAAAAATACAAAAAACTAGCCGGGCGAGGTGGCGGGTGCCTGTAGTCCCAGCTACTTGGGAGGCTGAGGCAGGAGAATGGCGTGAACCCGAGAGGAGGAGCTTGCAGTGAGCTGAGATCCGGCCACTGCACTCCACCCTGGGTGACAGAGCGAGACTCCGTCTCAAAAAAAAAAAAAAAAAACTAAAAAGCTCTCAACATGGGTTGATTTATACATTTTGATGGATAACTAAGGCCCTTCCTTTCCAGATCTAGGCTCAGTTGAAGCTACTGACAAGAATGGATTAAGGTTGAATCTGTAACATAAGTCAACATTTGTACTTTTACACAGAAAAATTTAAGATAACATACTGAAAGTCTACAGCAAATATTATTGGCTGAGCAAAACTCAGATTCTTCCCCTAAGCATAACTGGCAGGAAGGGAAGTAGTAAATAATAACATGGGGAAGAGATTTTTTTTTAAATCTTTTAATGCAATTAGAAGTTACGTTACGGAATTTGAAGAGGTTATGTTAACATTCCTTATGGAATGTGAAGTCTGTTTTTAGGATTTCCTCAAAGTTATAAAGTTATGATTAAAATTTCACTAACCAGTATAAGCCAACAAAATACAAAGGCAAAGCTGTGGTGCCACCAGACTGCCTTGTAAGTCTTGATTCAGGGGCTGAAATATTCCTTTTCTTCAGTTCTTCTACCAATAGCCCCATGGGATCTATTATCTTCCACATCTCAAAGAGCTCTTTTCCAGTCATTTGAGTAATTAAGAAGTCCTACATATAAAAATACAATTTATACATTTTAATTAGTAGAAAGAACAATAGGACCACAATTCAAAATATATTCTTTACACTTTTTTAAATTAGAGAAGCCACAGAGTACATTTTTAACAGAAATTTAAAACTTAATGGGAAATGAAAGACAAAAATGTACTATTCTTTTTCATTCCCCCAGTTTTTACACACATTTTATTACAAAAATCATAGTTGGATTAAAAAAACTTGAAAGCCCAAGAAACCTATTTCAAGTACTATGATCTACCAAAATTCCACAGAAGGTAGAATCCTGTAATTTTTTTTTTTTTCTTTTTTGAGACAGGGCTTCACTCTGTTGCCTAGGCTAGAGTGCAGAGGTGTGATCACAAGTACACTGAAACCTCGGACTACTGGGCTCAAGCAATCCTCCCAGCTCAGCCTCTTTAGCAGCTGAGACTATAGGTGCACACCACCATACCCGGCTAGTTTTTAAATTTTTTGTAGAGACGAGGTCTCCATAAGTTGCCCAGGTTGGTCTCAACTCCTAGCCTGAAAGGATCCTCCTGCCTTGGCTTCTCAAAGTACTGGAATTATAGGCATTAGTCACCACACCCTGCCCTATCTTATAATTCAGAATTATATTCCTACTAGTAAAAAAAAATATATTTAAAGAATTGAGTTAACAAATAAAAAGTAGTAACTTCTTACAGAAACTCATGTAAAATGGCACTCAGAGCCTCTAGGTAACAATATTTCCTCCATTAATAATGTTTTTAAAAACTTGGCCGGGCAAGGTGGCTCACACCTGTAATCCCAGGACTTTGGGGGACCGAGGCAGGCAGATCACTTGAGGCCAGGAGTTTGAGACTAGCCTGGCCAACATGGTGAAACCCTGTCACTACTAAAAATACAAAAATTAGCCAGGCGTGATGGTGCACACCTGTAAACCCAGCTAGAAGGGAGACTGAGGTGCAAGAATCACTTGAACCTGGGAGGTGCAGGTGGCAGTCAGCCAAGATCATGCTACCACAGCACTCCAGCCTGGGCAACACGGCAAGACTCTGTCTCTAAAAATAATAATAAATAATTTTTAAAAAATCGCTTAATAATTTCACATAAACTTTTAAAACTGTAACATACTAATAATTATTTATATGACTAAGATAACTGAGAAATTATGAACATTCAAAGCAGAATTGATTTTGCCAGTAAAAAGCATTACGCTGTATAGAAACTATGGAAGCAAACATTAATTTACAGCAATTTACATATTCCAATTAACTTGTATTAACAAACATTAGTAATACGATAACAGGATGGATGGATGGATGGATGGAGGCAGGAGGGAAGAAATTTAAAAAGACCCCTTAGTTCATGAAATGAAGTCAATTCATTACAACACTCCTCCAAGCACCAGAACACTTTCAACTTCATTAATAAAAAATATTAGGCCAGGCATGGTGGCTGATACCTATAATCCCAGCACTCTGGGAGGCCGAGGTGGGAGGATCAATCACTTGAGATCAGGAGTTCAAGACCAGCCTGAACACCATAATGAGATCGCGTTTCTACAAAAAAAAAATTTAGCTGGACGTAGTGGCGCATGCCTGTGGTCCCAGCTACTAGGCAAGCTGACATAGGAGGATGGCTTGAGCCCAGGAAGTCGAGGCTGCAGTGTGCTGTGATTGTGCCACTGCACTGCAGCCTGGACAACAGAGTGAGACACTGTCTCAAAAAAAAAAAATTTATAAATCCATTCTCAGTAGGGGATTTTGAAATGTTTTAATGTACAGAAGTAGATATGCCTTATGGGATATGTATGTATATGCACATATATAAAAATCACTGAACTGCTATCTGTCATATAGAATAACCAAGTGTAAGGTAAGGAAACACAACTCTTTCCCACCATCGAAGATATTAGTAGGAATATAGAAAGAAAGCTCAATTTTTCTTAAGTGATTACCTTCTATTTTTTGCTATTTGCTCCTGGTCTTACTAATTTATTATTAGAACTTTCTAGTAGGGTGTAAGTTGAATACTCCAATCTCACCTCCCCAGAATAGGGAAGGGGTATGAAGAAATGATGTTTCTAAAATGCGCATTTGATCATTAAAAACCTCCCACTTAGAACAACTCCAGCTGTCACTATACAAGATCATCAAAATACATACCCCGTAGCATGGCTAAGAGTGCTGTTCTCATTTCCAGATGCAGAGATATCACCTGGAGAGCTACTTAAAATACAGATTCCGGCTGGGGGCGGTGGCTCACGCCTGTAATCCCAGCACTTTGGGAGGCCGAGGTGGGTGGATCACGAGGTCAGGAGATCGAGTGGATCACGAGGTCAGGAGATCGAGACCATCCTGGCTAACACAGTGAAACCCTGTCTCTACTAAAAATAGAAAAAATTAGCCAGGCATGGTGGCGGGTGCCTGTAGTCCCAGCTACTTGGGAGGCTGAGGCAGGAGAATTGTGTGAACCCGGGAGGCGGAGCTTGCAGTGAGATGAGATCGCATCACTGCACTCCAGCCTGTGCAACAAAGCAGACTCTGTCTCAAAAAAAAAAAAAAAAAAAGATTCCTAGGTCCTACTCCCAGAGATTATGTACTCTGAGGGGGTGCCTGAGAATCTGCATTTCTATCAAGTTCTCCAGTGACGCTGATACTGACGCCCAAACCACTTTCTGAGTAACACTGTTGGCTCTTCTGTACACTGGCTCTTGAAGGTCCAGACTCATCTCTGATCACTTCTCCAAATGCAATATGATTCAGTCACAAAAAATTAACTGTAGTTCCCAAGCACACACTCACCCTTGACATTGTCTTCCCAAAACATCTTTTTTACGGGCACAAATCGCTTCTATAAAACCTTTCCTACCCTTACTAAAGTTGGTTGTTGCCTGAACTCTGAATTCACTCTGCGCCTTAACACCTCTAGGAAAGCACTTCCACACTGCATTCCATCTAACTAATGAGTTGTGAGTAGGATCAAATCCTATTTAGATTGTGGCTCCAGAGCTCAGCAGAGTGCCTGGCCCATAGTAAGGCACTCAACATTAAGTGGATGAACAAATGAAACAGGACAATCCAAACCTGTCAATTCTACTATGAGAGACATCAAAGCTCAACTTATAAACAGATATTTGAATTATCTATGTTTCGTAAGATCTTTACTTGGAACTGTTAAGAGGCATTAAAATATGGTAAATATTTCCAACATAGTTTCATGACTACCTTGTAGAATTTCAAAATGGTGACCAAAAATTATTTAAACTCCACAGAGGTTATAGTAAAGAGAATGGAAATCAAAGAGGACTTTGTCAGAATTTCTATAGAAAAAACTAACTGGGGGGAGAAAGATAGGTCTTACCTATGAACAAAGTCTGAAGTGTCAGTAAATACAGATATTCTCTTAACAAAATTATCAAACTTGGTATCAAAACTAAATGAACAGATTCCAATAGCATGTGATGCTGGTTTAAGGACTGAATGTCAGTCAGATAGATGCTTGAATCAAAACTGTCTTTCTGACTTAAAGAGATTGTGTGGACTCTCTATTATCAAAAAGTGAACAAAATCTCATGTTTTCATCCAATGGCAGAGGATAAAACTTCTCCCAGTTAATAAATTACAAACGGATAGTGAGAGTCAAGTTGTACCAATTAAGAAACCGAATTAGCTAAGTCACTAGCTAACAAAGAGTTAGGCATTAGAGGGACTTGAAATCCAAGATTTATCACTTGGAAGAGCAGACAGCAGCTGGTACTGAAGCACAGGCCTCTGCATACTGTCCTTTGACTTCATTCATTCACCAAACATCTACTGAGTATCTCTCATGCAAGCAGTATCCTTGGCCCTAAGGATGTAAACTTAAAGATGACATGGCTTGTGGTCCTTCAGAAATCACAACCCACAATTTAATATTCACTTTTTATGATATCCATAATAAGAGACAACTGGAATAATTACAGCCCTTCCATAAAAAAGTTTTAGGTTTTTCTCAGTTTTTCTTGGGACAAACATTCACTTCCAAGGTGATGTATCAAAGAAGCGAATTACAAAAGAAAATTTTCCCTTCTGTCTTTCTCAAGCATGTCCAATTAATAATTACGTACCCTGATAAAAAGTGCAGTCCTCTCGGGTCCACTGCTCTGTAACAGAGCTCCAATAACTGCAAAGAAAGTTTGCTGTAATACAGTCGGGGGCACTGGGAATTCCTCACTCAGTGTTAACTGCTCCACAGCCAAGTTTCTAGCCACGTGACACACGACTTCCTCACCAGTGAGAAAGTCAACAAGATTTCTGATGCCTTCAGTGGGCAAGTCTGGGAACTCGTCTTCAAGAAACTGTGTGAGGCAAGTCTGTGAAAAAGATGTCCCTTGTTCAGATAGTTCCTGATTACTTTTAAGATTCAGAAGTACAGCTTCTTTCTCTATCCCAAGTTGCTGGCGCTTGGCCTCCTCACTTTTAATATAGCAGCTATTAACAAATGCAGTTTTGAGAAGATCTAAGGAAAAGTTTTCCTGTAACCGATGTCCAAAAGCTTGTATTTCTGCATGGTAATCCCAGTTCGGCTTCTCGGAACTGAAAATGTAAAGATAGTAAGAGATGGTAAAGAGAACAACCTCTTACTGTGATATAAAAATTTTTCACTGTGTTGTAATGTTATTAATTATATAAAGGAAATGAAAGAAGGTTATATTTCTTTTTAATGCCAGGCTGATATTCTAAATGTTAAGACTGAAGTCAGATAAATACTGGAAGTCCCTTGCTATATTCTACATATATGATCGGATTAATTTTCCCGTTGATCCAATTGTCACATGAAATTGGTTCTTCAACATAAAAGACTAAGCCATTAGCCTAACTTTTAGGTTCCTTATTTCTGCTCTAATCATGAAACTATGTTTTATACCTAAGTATGAAACATAAATGATAATTTCACAGATTCAAGCCATAAACACTAGGTATGTTATATTTATGGTCATCCCTCAATATCCGTGGGGAATTGGTTCCGAGGACTCTCCTGAATACTGAAATTCATGGATGCTCCAGTCTCCCATATAAATGGTGTAGTACAGGCACACTTCATTTCACTGTACTTTGGTCTATTGTGCTTCACAGATTTATTGCATTTTATTTTTACAAATTGAAGGTTTGTAGCAATTCTGCATGTGCTCACTTTGTGTCTGTGTTAGCATTTTTTTGCAATGAAGTATTTTAAATTAAGGTACATACATTGCTTTTTAGACAATACTACTGCATACTTAATAAACTACAGAATAGTATAAACATAACTTAGGTATGCACTGGGAAATTTAAAAAGTCACGTGACTCGTTTTATTGCCGTGGTCTAGAACCAACCCTACAATATGTATGAGGTATACCTGTATTTGCATATAACCTATGCACATCCTCCTGTATACTTTAAGTCATCTCTGGATTACTTACACGTAACACAATATAAAACCCCTTTAAGAAACAAAGGGAAGCAAAGTATAAAAAGCTGGGTTGAAAGTCATAAGATATACATATAATATATACACTTATATAATCTGTACAAACCGTAAAGTTTCTTCCAACTTTGAGAGCCTAAAATACTTAACCTTATAATAAACAAGGGAATGGGAATTAAGAAGAGATTTTATTTTTTGCCATAAACTTATCTGTTAGAAGACCGTTCCTACTGGTAGGAGTACAAAGTGGATCAACATTTTTTGGAGGGCAACGTTAAAGTACTAATAGCATTCAAAATTACATGCTACGTACGCATCCCCAAAGGTGAAATAAAGATACACGCTGTTACATAGGTTTTAATGGCAATAATATGGAGCTCATAAGCCCATAAACAGAGCCATAAAAAAGAGTGAGGTACATCTCTTTGTAATGCCATGACAACATGTCAAAGACACATTATTAAAGAGAAAAAGATGAAGGAATTTAAATTATGTAAAGTATGATCTGATTTGAAGCCATAAAAACCTGTCTCTCTGCCAAACCTGTTACCAGAACAACATTAATTTGGGCAAAAATCGAAAGCTAACTTTTTTTCCTTTTTCTCTAGACAGTAGACTTCAGGTTGTAGATTAATTTTTTTTTTCTCCTTAATTTACAATGCTGTGGACTGCTTTCTTCTCGCTTATCGGAATTCTCGAGTATTACAAATGGGGGCTACAACACCCAAGTCCACATAAGGAAGACCCTCCGGCCAGCCCCATTTCTCCCAATTTCCAGTAGACAAAATCCTAATTATGGTAGTTTCAAAACGTCGGGAGCAGCCTGAAGCTCTACCACCCGCGGCACAAATCCATTTTCTTTGCCTCAGGCCACGCGCCCACAGCTCACGGGTGTCTCTATCGCAAACTTCCTAAAGCTTAATCCTGGGGCGCATCAGCCGCAGGCACAACACCGCGGGAGGAAGACCCCGTGTCTGCGACCGCCACCCTGACACCCCTTCCCGAGGTGTCTCCTACCGGCGCACGGGCGGCGGCGGGCACCGCAGAAGGCGCAGCCGCTCTAACTCCTTCTGGAAGCGGAAGGCGGCGCGGAATCCCTTCTTCACTCCCCGAACCGGAGGGACCAGCTTGGGGACGACTGGAGCAAGGAGGCAGCGAGGCCCCTGCTGCAGCACTCTTACCAGCCCGGACGCCATTGCACGGGAGAGAGCGATGGAGGACGGAACGAAAGTAGTCGGGCCAGTGTCCCCGTAACACACTTCCCCCGGAACCCGGGACGCGGAGAGAGGACAGGGACGGAGACCGCCCCCAGGGCGGGGCGACTGAGAGAGGGCGGGGGCGGAGACAGCCCCGGGGGCGGGGCGACTGAGAGAGGGCGGGGGCGGAGACAGCCCCGGGGCGGGGTGACGGCGGCCGCCTTGGTGCTGCGCGTGCGTTGATTCTCTCCTCCATTGGCGTTACTTTCCAATGATCCGGGTTTGAGGGCGTTTGCGTCCAAAAGTTTCTGGGAGAGGTTGCTTCACCCTGTCAGTTATTCTCTTGTTCCTTCTTCTCTCGTTACAGCAAAACAAACAAAAATCTCTTTCACGTTCAAGTTAAGGAAACATTTAAATCCTCAAAAACGAAAACATTTTTATTTATATTTAGTGTTCCAGACCATCAGTACTGCCATTATTGAGCGAGTATTTACCGAGCTTCTATTTTTGACCCAGCACGTCTCCAAAAGCCTTAGTTTTGGAAACCCTAGACTCAGAAATGTTGGCTTATCCAAAATTAACATTTTTCTTTAAAAGCAATCTAATAGTACATTTTTTTTTCTTTTCTTTTTTTTTGAGAGGGAGTCTCGCTCTGTCGCCCAGGCTAGAGTGCAGTGGCCGGATCTCAGCTCACTGCAAGCTCCGCCTCCCGGGTTTACGCCATTCTCCTGCCTCAGCCTCCAGAGTAGCTGGGATTACAGGCGCCCGCCACCTCGCCCGGCTATATTTTTCTATCTTTTAGTAGGGACGGGGTTTCACCGTGTTAGCCAGGATGGTCTCGATCTCCTGACCTCGTGATCCGCCAGTCTCGGCCTCCCAAAGTGCTGGGATTACAGGCTTGAGCCACCACGCCCGGCCCAATAGTACATATTTTTAAACATCCGGAAAATGACTGGAAAAAATCATAAAACGGTAACGGTAGAATTAGTTTCTTCCTTCTTTAACACTCTGTAACAGTGTAATTCTATTGCTTTCCTATCAAACTGTTAATACAGTACAATTTTTAAAAGAACATATTAAGTCACAAAGGGAGGCTTCTTTGAATTCCCCGTTTTGAGTTGCCTGCTGAACATCTAGACTCTCAAAGGGGCAGTGCTTTCTGAGATCTATGTTTTAAAGGCATCTGTGTCCCCAGCAGTCACCCAGATTGAACTCCTGTGTCTTTGATTGTTCTTTCCACAAACCCCCTCTTCGGTCCAGTTACCACCAAGTGGTTTTTCAATTTATTTCCACTGCAGGTACCTGGTGGCTCTCCTCACCTCTCCGTGGTTACTGTAATTGGCCTGGTACCAGCTCCCTTCCCCAGATACAGCTCACCTACATTCATCTCTCTGAAACACAGACCACAAAGCATGTTATGACTTAACTGGAGAACCTTCAGTGCCAGGATCATACAACTCAGTTTAGGTTTCTCAGCTTGACCATTTCCAAAGGGAGAACCTAAATGGTTCATCTCAGCTTATAAAAGGGTTCCCTTTGGGAAGAGAGAGAGCAAAAGAGGGCCTGAGCACACACGGTTGAAGGAAATTCTCCAAGAAGGGGTGAAAGGAGGTCACAGTTGACCTTGTTATAATGTATGTAAAGTATTGAAAATTCATGGAACATCAATCCAATAAATGGATTAGGAGAAAAGGCAGGGAACTGTCATTTCCGTAGAGTTTCATTTATTAGGAAAAATAATCTAAAGTCCGTTGTAGCACAATCATGTTAAGTTAAAATGAGGTGTTTCCGTGTTGAGAGTTTCTCAGTCATACAACAATGAAAGCATCATTTGCAGATTAAAAAATGTAGGTCCTCAAAAGATTTACTAATGCCCTTCATGGAGCTCAGGAATTAGCCAGTTTTTAAAAATTTGCTCATACATTTGTTAATTTATTCAATAAACACATAATAGGAGGAGCACTTGGTTCTAGGACCCAGGCTCAGAAAACTTCAAGGAAGAAAAAGGCTAATGTGTTTTTTGGCCCTCAAAAACCTGATTTTTCCTTTAACCTGCTGGTAGCCCTAATTTGATTAAAGCTCACAGATGTCAACAACTTTCGAGTTTTCACTGGGTAAGCGTCAGGTGCAAGGGTGGGGAAAAGTCTCACTTAGGAAGAGGAGGTAAGGCGATTGAGGGTTCACTTTAACCCTTGGGGAACACTTCAACCTTTTGTGTTTTGATGCCAGGGATATTGCTTATATATTCCTTCAGTGATGGTGAGGGCAGCTGGAATACAGGGCACAGAAAGATGGATAACAAAGTTAGTGAATTCTGCTATAGCACCTTCCTGGACAATGAAGCAATTCTGAACCCCTGAGATTACTTGCCACTACTTCATAGATTAGCTAAGGAATAACTACCAAATAGTGGCCTTTAATCCAACTCATAAGGAAAATTACAGACAGAAATAATTACCATAGGATGAAAATTACTATAGTTAAAACTGTTCATACAAAATTGGAGTTACTGATAAATATCGATACAGAATCAGTCTTCACCAAAGTTACATCTGTTCAACCTAGCTTTGGAAAATTTGACTTGATGGAAATTTTGACTTGATAGATCTAAAAGCCACAACAGAAAACTCACGATAGTAAAACTGATTAGCAAAAAGCCCTAGTAAACCTGAGCAACAAACAACATCTTAGGAAACAAATGCGGAAAAAAATTCAAGAAAATACATTAAGTAAGCAATATAAATATGAAAATACAATTAGAAATAGGATACTTGAGCTGTATAGAAAATTGATCAAGACATTTAATTGGTTTCATGGAGCTTATTCCAGAAAACATTTTCTCAAAAAAAAAATGCATCAATATTAATATAACTCTGTTAATTCAGAATTATGGAAGCAAAAACTTTTTTGGTGTGTTAGCAGCCAGCAAGATGGCTCTCAACAAGCCCCACCTCCTGTTATTTACACCCTTGTATATTCCCCTCTCACATTTTGCTGGGTTTCGTCGTGTAACCAATAGACCATGGATGTTTTTATCAATTCTGGGGTCAGGTAATAAAATACATCATGGCTTCCATTTTGGTCAGATACCTTGCATTTCTTGGATTAGTCTCCTATCGGGAAGTCAGCTGCTATGTTATGATGTTGCCTAAGAAACTATGTGGAAAAGCTTATGTGATGAGTAGCTGAGGCCTCTCACTAACAGCCGTGTGAATGAATGAGCCATCTTAGAAATGGATCCTCCATTCCCAGTCACACTTTCAGATGACTCCCTACTGGCCAATGTCTTGACTGCATCCCCACGAGAGACCCTCTGCCAGAATCACCCAGCTAAGCTGCTCCCAAACTCCTGGCCCTCAGGAAATAAATACACATTTGTTGCTTTATGCCACTAAGTTCTGAAGTAATTTGTTACATAGCAACAGATAATTAATACACTTACGGTCAAATCAACTGGATGAAAATGGCAAAATAAAAAATACTCTATATTCATGAGACTTAGGGGATGGCCTCAGAGTGCTGGGTCTAGATGGAAGTGTGGATTTTGCTGGATGCAGAAGAGATGGAAAGGAGGAACGACATTCCATAACATGCACAAAGTCATCAGGCATGATGAGGACTTAGTAAATTCCCCTCCCAAAAGTGAAAGCTGCCTGACCCTTTAATCCCTGTAGGTACAGATCCTCTTTCCTGTCATTAGGGATACTTTTGAGAAACAAGTTCAGGAAATATCAGGGAAGATGTCGAGCACGGTATTTCTACTTTACCCATGTTCCTTGATGTTTCTGCTAAACTGAGCGATGTTTGGATCTGAGAGAGGGATGCCTATTACAGGAAAAAGGAATATTTTAAAGGGTTATAAAAATAAGTAAAAACTGGTAATGAGGGGGAAAGTAGAGATATTAGACCACTATGACTATAATATTGAAACTTTACACTTTTGTTTCGCTTTTTAAATAAATAAAACATTGTAAAAGTGGTTTCAGATTTTTGCAATGTGATCATTATGCTGGTCTGCAGTGTAAACCTTGGGTAAAATCCAGAGGATGGGTTAAAAGAACTCCTGGCAAAACCACTGAACAAAATTACCAAGTCTTCTTTCCTCTCTGGGGTGAAATTGTGTCTCCAAATCTTTTGTGAAGGCCCAAGGAGACGAAGCATGTCCAAAAGCAATAAATCACTGTAGACTTCATTTTCAGTCTATTCCACAGATTTAACATGTACTGAATAGATAAACATTGATTAGGTATACGTTATAACAACTGTTGAAAGACACTGATAAGTTTTTGAAGTATTTCCTCTTGATTGGAGTTAACCAAATTATAGCCATTACAAGTTATAAATTTAAGAATCTGGGCCGGGCGTGGTGGCTCATGCCTGTAATCCCAGCACTTTGGGAGGCCGAGGCAGGCGGATCATGAGGTCAGGAGTTCAAGACCAGCCTGGCCAACATGGTGAAACCCTGTCTCTACTAAAAATACAAAAATTATCTGGACATGGTGGCGTGTGCCGGTAGTCCCAGCTACTCAAGAGGCTGAGACAGGAGAATTGCTTGAATCCGGGAGGCGGAGGTTGCAGTGAGCGGAGATAGCGCCACTGCACTCCAGCCTGGGTGACAGAGCAAGACTCTGTCTCGGAAAAAAAAAAAAAGAATCTGGATAATCTGGATACTGCATACGAATAAGTTATTCTTTAGGAGACTATCATTTATATCATTATATGGTTTATATCTTTTTTTGAAAATACTCAATTAGCGAAATATTGCCTTATAATTTACATATGTAATGTCATATTCTCAGTGAGTTATGTCCTACAATCCTCATGATGGCGTTAAAAGAAAAACTGTAGAACACTTAAATTTAAGAGTTTGAGCAAAGAACGATGAATCAGGCAGCCCCCAGAACCAGAACACATTCAGAAAGACTCCAGGACTGCCACATGGTCAGATGACATTTACGGACAGTAAAAGGATAAAAGTATGTACAGAAAATGCAAATGAGGTACGGAAACAGCTGGTGTCTGCTTTATTTGAATAGGGCTGCCTGTGGTTGGGTGAGACTCAGCTACTTTTACAAGAGCAGG